GTGATTGACATATATAGAGCGTTGAGCCATAATGTTGGTAAATTTATGTTGGCACGTCGTCATAATAAATCACATCACAACAAGACGTCACACGTCAGAGCAAGCTAAACTATCGTGTACTGCTACATCTTGGATTATATTAGCATTGCTCCGTATCCTACCGGTGCTTCATTTGCCGCATTACACAAGAGGCAAAATCGTTATAAAATGGACAAGCTGTACATAATAGAAACGACTAGTTTAAAACGCCGAGTCCCTGGTTTATATGTGAAATGCATAAAGACCACGCGCTGCAGTACATAATGCAGTTTATGCACATGAATGGGTATCCCGGGGTAATCTCATCTCCCGCTAGTGCGTTATGGAGGCCGATACATTTTCCGCAGCCGTAAAACCTTTAGAACTGGGACAAAGCAATATCCGTTGAAAAAAAGTCAACCAACGTTTGAAAAGTTGCCAAGGAAGTGATCACAATTGCGCCGGTCGGATTAGTGGGCCCCGGATTGTGACTCCGGTATTAATTATTCTGTGCACGATTAGATGGTTCGTTAAAAGGTAATTCCTCATATTCGGCATATGCGATTGCTGACACCATCACGAATCAAATATTGCTTTCTGAACCCTCGAACCCTCGAATTCGATCGAAACGGGAATGGCTACAATGTGATAGAAAAGAGAGCCAAATTTTAGAATATAGAAAGACGGGTCCGTAATGCGGATTGTCGTCTTCTTGCTCGCTTGGGGAATGGGCCATTTTAAGATGTTTATTTGCTTTATATATATAATTTTGTAAATTTGTTCTCAGTAAACTAAAAAAAGCCAATTTAATGCGCCCATCCCATAAATAATCATGACGGATTTTTTCTCTTTTTTACATAAAAAATGCTAATGCATTGTTGTTCCTTTTACCTACCTACACATGTTCTGTCAACTGTTCTTTACTCAACAAGTGGTGCACGAAATACAAGATTCTAAAATTTTCAATTTTCTTCTGCTGATCCTGATTCATTCATTATCGTAAAATTTCGCCAATGATTTATAGTCTAATTACAGATCAGAAAGATGCTCGCTCATTTATAATGTCTTCTGATCCTTTTTGCAACATAAAATGTGTACCGTATTAATTCTAATGTTATATATGCTATGCAAATAAATGATTTATTTATTATATTTTATTTATTTATATAAAAATATAGATTGGTCAGAAAGTAATATGAATTTTTCAAGACACATTTAACCGTTATCTTTTAAATATTTTAAAAATTTTAAAATTTTTGTGACAAGTAAATCAATAGGTAAACAATACCAAAATACTGATTTATTTGTGTTTCTAAATAATACGCATTTACTTTTTATCATGTCATACAAATCATAATAAATAAAAAATTTGAAAATTAAAATTTTAATAATATTTATATAATAGAGATTTATATATTTTGTTTATATAATAATTGAACCAGTTGTTATTTATTGATGACAATGACAAATGACAAATGACAATAAAATAATTTACCAGTTGAAAAACAGTTGACGATGTAACACCAGAACTTATCAGTAGGTATTCTAGATAGGATTGTCACCGTCAAAAATAGTCAAAATGTAGCATAACCACTTAGTGAAAGGAAACGATTTATCTCCAAAAAAGCCAAACTGTTTGAAAATAATAAAACAGTTTCTTATTACACTTATTCAGTATTTAGTAATATTAACGCGTATGACCAAGAAAAAATTCCCGTTACTACCCATTTCCTTCTAAAAAAGTTTATTAATCTACTGGAACAACGACTTCTAAAGCATTTGGTTCAATCAAACGGTTTACTTGTAATAGTTTAGCACTAGATAATCAATATCTCATCTTATTCTTTATTTTTCTCGTGAAGGTAAAGAAATATTTCGAGTAGAAAATACCTCTTAAGTGAAATGTATACCTTTTTCAATTTTTTCAAAATTAAGTTTAACAACATTAAATGTGAAAAAGAATTGGCGTAATTTTAAATTTACATAATTTTTACGTAATTGGAGGCAAATTTATCGGCCGCACCGGAAATATAAGCAGTTGCGCAGTTGCATTTGCTCTCTAACGAGCTGATGAAGAGCACCGTAACACGGACATTGTGCCAAACATTTTGACTATAGCCGTAATACATAACAGATCACAGGTTTGCAACAAATTCAAATTTGTAAGTCAAAAAAAATACACAAGCAGAATGAAATAATAAGTTACGCCGTTTTCTTATACTCTTAACAAAAAAATTACTAGTTTTTCGAGAAACGTTATAACAACTTATGGAAAATTGTTTGTGACTAGGCCTATGGATTTGTTTTAACTGTATTATTTTCACCGCCGCATTCCAAATCAAATCTAATTACAAAAATGCAAATTTACAGGCTACTAACTTCTTAACAAGATACGGCAAAGCCAGAATATTTTTTTAGAAAATGATTTCCGTTTTAGCATTTAAAAGTACAACGATTTTTGATTTTATACATCGTAGTTATCAAAGCTTTTCCTTTTTAATATAGATGGTAATGATATAGTTAGTTGTTTTACGAATATAAAATAATTTTTGACAATTATTAAATCTGATCAAATTTTTTAGTCAATATTCAATAATATTACTAGGCAATTAGTAATTAACTGCAGCTTATAGTTAAAGGGCAATTTTAAATTTATTTGCGGTCGCCGGCACACTCAGGTGCCACGTAAATCTTAATATTTAAAGTTTTTTAGCAGCAATGACAAATTTTTAATAAATTCTGATAACTTCCTAATAAAACGTTATTAAGTAGATAAATAAAAAAAATCATATCTAAATTAAATTCTATTGCCACTGTATAAGGAATGATGACATTTTTGTGTGAGTTAATTTTAATATCTAAAAATCTGAGTAAGCATAGAATTTTTATTATTTCTAATGATCTATTAATGATGTTGCTATTAATAATTAATAACCTAAACATGGAAAATTAAAACTTGATTTTATGTAAGGCTACATTTTTATTTGCTGTGGTTTATTTTTATCGGATATGAATTAGAATTGTTTTGTTTTGCAATAATATTAATAAAACTTGTTTGCGTTGTTCGGGTACGCCCCCTTCTGATCATTGTCAAATGTCACTTTTCGCAGTTGCGCACCTGTGGCTGTTCTTTCTATATTGAACTCCACCCTTCCGAAAAACATGTTTAGCACACGTAAGCAACGGCTTTTTCTCATTGTTCCGGAAACGTAATAAACGTCATTCTTTGCCCACATGTAATGTGTCACTTAAAATGGCTTTATACGCTTGGTTAAACAGCGATCCCCAAAAAAAGGCGGTGAAACTGGTAGAAACATAAAAATAATAATCTGATTCAAGTGCTTTACCAAAATAAATAACTAAAAGTTCAGATTTTCACGAAATTATATATTTTTACATGACAATTGTTTCGACAGCACCGTGTCGTTATCAAATGTCAATGTAAAAATATATAAATATATAAATCTGAACTTTTAGTTCTTATTTATTTTGATAAAAGGATTTTCATCAAGTAAAAGCCAATTTGCAATTGCTGACAAAAGTACTTAAACATTATTCTACATTCGTCGACAAAATGGCTAATGTTTTTAGTAAGAATAACACTAACACAATTGTTGAGTTAAAAATTGTTTTGCTTCTATATTTGCCTTGCTGGAGACTGAAACCGAAACATCTACTCGACTCCCGTTTCGCCTATTATATTTGCGTCGTCAGAGAATGATTATAACTAAGTTTTAGTTTACTAACTTTGTGTGGTAGACAACAGTTATCCTGTACTTGCGTCTAGTATAGTAAGTTAAGTTTCTGATGTGCTAATTTACGTAGGCACTTGCTTAAAGTATTCAATTTTTTTAATCTGTAACGAAGCTGCTTAAAAACAAACGTAATGCGACTTTTGGACTTTGGAAAATTGTCTAGAGAGCATTATAAATTTTCGGTAATATCATAATTTCATTGTTACCGAAAAATTCACCTTTTCCAAGTCAATTAACATCTTTTATGTCAGGATTTTTTTGCGAGGTTGTTAAAACAATGTTTTTAAAAAATAAAATTCAAATTAAACGTCTAGAATCTCTAGTGTCTTTTTTATCTCTTGATTACATAAAAATAATGAAATTAACGCGGCAATTAAAAATACTGCAAAGATAATTTATTCGAAACATTTTCGTAAGCGGCCATCCTTAACAACATTTGTAAGAAAGTGTTAACCGTTGTACTGCTCATGAATTAAATGGAAATAATTTAAAAATGGGTAGAATTATGAAAGAAGAAAATGAAAATAATTTTCAAATTTTGCCATTTAAAATTTCATGCATCATATCGACTTCTACAAAGTGTACCTCTTTTATGTATTAATGGATAGCTAAATATTTTTTTAAATTAAAAATGTTATCAGTATGTGTATGTATATATGTTATATATTCGAATTTCGCATGTAAAAAAGCCGAATGCCAATTAACATCCAAATTATGAACATTATTTCAAATACAAATTGGCAATTTATTACTCCGCATCTCAAAAACGAGGGTTTTGCGGACCCATACTTGTATGAACTTTTTGTCTTGAAATTAACGAAGGAATCATTTTTTACTGTTAACACTCTGTATAAATAAAGTCAACAATTTATACCCAACATTTTTTTATACGCATTGTCTTATTTTGCATTAAGAAACTGATGATCAAATATAAAAAATTCAAATGTCAAAATCTCTCTAATAACTTCGTTTCTTTTGTTTCAGATTTTTGCACTTGTAAGTGGGAAGAAACACATCTAGCCTCGACGGAAACTGAAATTTATTTTCAAAAAATAAAACTGACGGATTCTGAAAGATTGGTAATATAGATTTCAAATTTTGATTGCTCTTAAAGCGATACGCGACAAATTCTAACCAACCAATGGTTAGCGGTTTAACAGTGTTTGATAGCGGTTCGTGGATAATACCTACATTGCGTCAGTTTTGCATTCTATCCAAAATTGTTATTACAAGTAGTGTATGTATGGTTTTCTTTTAATATTCTTCGCGGACCAATTTGGACTGACGATAGAAATTTCTCAGATAGGGTGTTTCGTCGGAGGTGTAACACTTGCACCCAAGGAAAACACATGGGTCGTAACGCCAGTGAATCGGGCACCTCGTACAATCGACTGGAGGAGGATGATGGGGCGGGCGTAGAGGTAAGCTCCTCAATTACTTAATATGCATGTTTCGTGGGTTCATTCGTATAATATTTATAAGAAGTAAACAACACTTTTCACAAAACTTCCACAGTAACCTGTTGAAGTTTCTTTAAAAAGAGGGAGTAAAAAAACACATTTTTATAGTGACTTGACTCCGTATGCATATCAAAAAAGTTTTCGATATATAAGTAAAATAATTTTAATTGGTACGCTCATGATGCCGTCTATAACTCGAGTTTCAGTTTTTATAAAGCCATCGTAAATTGCTTCATGTAGGCTTTTGATTTTCACAAAATTAGAATACAATTTTGAGAGCTAATTTAATTCTTGTCGTTCGAGCCAAATCCAAATATTTTAATAGCTACGAGAGTCGGGCTTTGTCAGAGCTTTTAAGTTTTTAAAATTTAAGGAGTTGTGTTGGAGCAAAAACCCCCAAGAATAGACGCAGTTTTGTTTTTAGATTTTATTCTCGTTTAAACCCTTTGAGACGAAATTGTTTGAAGAAAAATATTGTCTTTTATATCACACTTGAAAAATCTCTCTAAATATAACAGGTAAAATTATATTCTATGCCCTGTTAATAATAGAAAAACTTAAAATTTAAGGAAAACAACGTACAACAAAAAGAACCCAAATCAAGAAATTATCCCACAAATTCTTTTAGTGAAATCCAATAATTATAATAAATAAAGCAAAAATATGAAAAACATAACTTCAGAATTTTCTTAATTTTGGTTACTTTAGTCAACTCAACAATTTTTACTAATAATAACATTAAATTAAAATTAATTTAAATTATTAAATATAAGCATGATTTTTAGTATTTAATTTATTGGTAGATTGGTATGTTGGAGAGAGCTATACCTCCAAAGTTATGATTTTTAGCTCCTGTAAATTGAAAATTTAAGACCTACTAAAAACAGCTGCAAAAATCGTTGGAAACTTTTAAATATTTTTTTTGGGGTTGCATTTTAATTGTTTTTGTTTCTTTCAGACAGTGCTAAATTTTTACCGTTGGGTCGTTGAAGAGCTTCACGTGCACAATATATCAGTTGGCTGGCTCGACACAGCAACGGACGTTGCTAAACAGATAGCTATACGTCAACAAGCTGGTATTACTGTTTACCATTCCATCAGCGAATTTTGGAGGAATATCAGAGTCGGTAAGTGTTTTTTTTTCTGTGAATTGTTTATATGCGCGGATTCGACCATTTAACTAAGAGCTTAATTATAGTTATTACTTAAAATAGCAAAATAAGTTACTTAAACTAATACGAAAGCACGCTATATAGGTAACTTATGTCCCAATTACGAGCTGACCTCCGAAAGATGATGTCTTAAAAAAATTATTTTGACCTTTTGATGTCTCGTTTGAATAAGCATATGGGCAACATTAACTTTTATTGTTCCCAAAGATTTTTTTTGCCAGGTTGCGCAACCAACTGATGGTCAAAGTAATAATTGAAATTTTAAATTAGTTTTTCAAATACCTATCGAACAATGAACCGGTGTTTTTGACGTCCTTGAAACTCATTTTTGTTCCCGAAAGAGTGTTCGATTTATTTTTTACGCTTCTTTGTGTACACTCCTGGCCCAAAAATGGCCGTGTCGCTTGTTCTATATATCGACTACAAATTTACCCGTTGTTTTGTTTATGAAAAAAATCTCACATGTTATACCGAGTGCTCCTTTATAGATTAAATTATTCCACAAAATTGTTAAAATTTTAGTAAGCGAAATTGACATCTGTCTATATTATCAACACACTTATACACAGTCAAATTGAATACGTAGTAAGCTTGGTGTATTTCATTTTTATTTTTAGCATTGCCATACGAGTATGCGATGTCGTCGTTAACTTTTATATATATTATCAGTAAAATTTATATTAATTGTATTCTCATACAGGTAATGGCAGGAAAAGAGTCCAAGATATCTCACTGTCTGAACGTGAACGTGGAATAATAATAAATTTTGTGTGGCTAAAAAAATTTTATTCCTTAAAAATACCAAGTCAGTTACACACGTCATTGCTATAACTTAATCACTGCACTTCTTTTAGTAACATTCTTAAACCATAAAGCAAATTACCAAGAAACACCCTGCAAGGACATATCGGTCAAGGTTTTGTGGTTTCCCTTCTTAGCAAATGGAGTATTTCAATATTATCTTCAGTAATATAATATAGTATCTAGCCGTGGTCAGAACTAAATTAAGGAGTTTCGACTATCCAATGGTTATTTAACCAAACCCAATCTCAAAATTGATTCAAAAATGTGTAAGAAAACAATTATTTTGCTTGCTACTACTACTACTACTATACAACTATACAAATAGTTCCTCGAATGGTTTGCCAGAGAACATGTTCTCTGCGACTCATATATTGTGGCTTATAAATCCAGTGAGCACTGCTAAGTCCGAACAATATAAGCGTCGTAATGTACGTTTTGGTATGGGTAATGTTTGCGGACCTGTCAGAATTAATCATTTTGGTACAAGAATTAATGTATTGCAATGAAGTTGCAATTTTCTTAGTTTTGTAGCATTCTTAATAACACGCTTTGTGCATTGCCCTTTGGAGTTTGAATAATTTATGATTTTCTGAATGATTTTCGATATTCTTATAATTTTTTTGAATAATTTATGATTTTCTGAATGATTTTCAATATTCTTATAATTTTTTGTTATATCGCTCAGTCTTAGCACCGACTTGTAACTATTAATCTAACACTTAGCGAATGCAAAAATGTACCCAAAAACAACGGTAGTTAAAAAAGTAAATATAATATGCAACACGTTGAGAAATTTCTTCAGTTATTCATTTATTACCCTCTCGTGACTAAAGTGGCATTTATCAAACTAATTACACGAACGCAAAAAATAGAAAAAGGAGCATTAGCAATCTTCTTCTACCTAGCAAAGAAAAGCCGATAATAGGGACTACCGTGCAACAAACAAAAGCTTGGATGTCCCCTAGTCCGTTTCTAAAATTTAGTTATTCCTACTTTAGAGGTGAAAATGGCCCTTAGCTTCACAGTTCGTTTAATTCTACTATTTCCGCAATATATTTTTCTGCAGCGTTGTTGTTTTGGTCTGTTCAGCTAATGGCGGTCGAAGTTTCAAAAACATCGGAAAACATCATTAAATAATGCGCAATAATGCCGCAATATTTTAAAGAAAGGTCCGCAATCACCGGCAAATAATATCGTAATAAAACTCCGGTGTCAACCGTGTCCAGTAGGTATATTTATGGTGCAGACCAAGCCAAATTTTCTGCTGATCGTGTGCCGCGTAAACTTGCCGCACACCGAAACAAAATCGTAATTCCTAGCGAACCCAATTCAACCGTGCATTAAATTTGTTTCAAAAACATTTAGCATCCTAAAAATAAATTTATATCTATGGCCAGGTATTAATAATTTATTATTGGTTCGGAAGGATCACTTCCGCAAACTATTTCAGGCTGCTTAAAAAGTATTGCAAACATGCTAGTGGCAAGTTATTCGATATTCATAAATAATCATATTTTCTAAGCTTCCGCTTAAATATTATTTAAGCTGTTTAACTGACTGTCGTTGCTTTTTAGAGGCTTCTCTTTCGTTGTAATACGACGTACGGAAGTTGCTTTCGCTCAGTATATAGTTTTTAATTGTATTTTACTTCTAAGCACCCACCATAAACATACATAAGCCCTATTATCTTCATTCGGGTTTAAAGGCCGTCGTCGATTGGAATTACTTCCTAACGTTTCGCTAGCACGAGTGGCGAGCTTCTTCAGAGGTCCTTGCATCGCCGATGTTGGACGTAGACTGACGATTTCTCCTGCGCAGGTTGTATTTATGCCGATTGGTGGAGGGCGGGGCTTGTTCCGCTTCGGTTGGTCTCGGGATATCGATCGGTACTGCTCGGGCGTTCCTAAGGATCGGGTTCCAGATTTGGTTGAGTCTAAGGGTCTCCTCCTTTCGGTTGAAATTGTGTGGGTGTTTTTGAATCTCAATGGCTTCCCTGACTAGTCTGTTGTGATAGCCGTTGACCGATGCTAGTAACTTACAGCTCTCAAAGTGTATCCTGTGTTCCCCGCTGCCCAGTGCGTGTTCAGCCACTGCAGACTTCTCTGTATGTCCTAGCCTGCAGCTTGCTTTATGCTCCTTAAGTCTCGTTCCCATTGATCTCTTGGTAGTTCCGATGTAGACCTTTCCGCATGAACACGGAATGCGGTAGACTCCCGCAGCTGAAAGTGAGCCCCTCTTGTCCTTCGCTGACCTGATGGTCTGCTGGATCTTCTTTGTAGGCTTAAAGATTGTTTTGATGTCGTGTCTTTTCAATACTCTGCCAATCCTGTCGGTGACACTCGGAATATACGGCAGATATGCGTGGGAGGTGGAGGGTCGTTGTTCTGTATCCCGTGATCTTGATGATCTTGAGTTCATTGATCTCTCGATCTCCCTCTTACTGTAGCCATTTGCCTCGAACGCAGTTTTTAGGTGTTCAAGTTCCATCTGGAGGTTCTCCGGTTCGCAAATCCTTCGGGCTCGTTCTGTCAGGGTTCTGATAACCCCATACTTTTGACTTGGGTGATGGTTGGATAGAGCATGCAGGTATCTGTCCGTATGGGTTGGTTTTCTGTAAACTGTGTGGCCCAGCTTGTTACCTCGCTTCCTCACTAGTACGTCCAAGAATGCAAGTTGTTGGTCATTTTCAGTCTCCATAGTAAACTGGATGCTGGGATGCTGACTGTTGAGATGCTGCAGAAAGTTGTTGAGCTTGTCCATACCATGTTTCCAAATCACGAAGGTGTCATCCACGTACCGGAACCACGTTGCTGGCTTGTACTCTGAGGACTCGATCACTTTTTCCTCAAAGTGTTCCATAAATAAGTTGGCTATAACCGGGCTTAGTGGGCTTCCCATTGCCACTCCGTCCACCTGTTCGTAGAAGTTTCCCTTCCACACGAAATAGCTACCGGTCAGACAGACTTCAAAAAGTTTGCAAATATCGACAGGAAATATCCTGTTCACCAGGTCCAAGCAACTCTTCAGAGGTACTTTGGTAAACAGTGAGACAACGTCGAAGCTCACAAGGATGTCGTTTTGTTCAATATTGATATCTTGAATCTTGCGCACGAAGTCGGTGGAGTCCTTGATGTAACCAACCGAAGCGGAACAAGCCCCGCCCTCCACCAATCGGCATAAATACAACCTGCGCAGGAGAAATCGTCAGTCTACGTCCAACATCGGAGATGGAAGGACCTCTGAAGAAGCTCGCCACTCGTGCTAGCGAAACGTTAGGAAGTAATTCCAATCGACGACGGCCTTTAAACCCGAATGAAGATAATAGCTTAACAACGGGCCGCGAAAGCCTTAACCAATTTATCATACATAAGCCCGTTTTTATATAAAGTGCACTTTAAACAGTATCAGATTTGTAAAGTTATAAGGAAAGCTAAGATATTTATTTGGGTAGGCACTTTGTATTATGAAAGTCATCAGAACACAATAATAAAACATATTAATAATTTACAAAAAATGCTCAATTAAAATTTGTGTAAAATAAAACAAGCATCATTTAATCATTAAAACTGCTGAAGGCGCGAAGAGGGAACGTATATGCAGAGTAAAAAATGAAACTCTGAATAAGGAATTTTGAAAAGTTTAGAAAACATGTATTATAATTTAAACGTGTAGAATATGTTTTTTTTGTATAGTCAAATGTCACTGCTCCACATCTTCGCATCTCATCGTATTGCCTACTTTGCATCTAAAAAAGATTTTTTCCGCAGAATAAACAACTTTTCTCATTTAATCCAGTCTACTTTGAAATATTGCTTATTAGTTTAGGCACACCCCACCGAGCAAAAACAAAAGGAGAACTTTAGTTTTTCTTTGTTGAAGTTGTGGTTTAAATCTTAAAAAAGGAGTCGGGGATGAAATATTTTATTTTTAAAAGAAAATGAAAGTGCGGTTATTCAATACGAAGAAATTTCACGAAGTCTAGAAACCATTCGAAATGTAATAAATAAATTTGTAATAAAATAAATAAAAAGTGCTAATAAATTTGAAAAAGTGGTGAATATTATGGTGTCACATTATTTATTACAAAACAAAAGGGTAATTTTATATAAATAAACGTAGTTGTATATAGAAAGGCCAAATAGATACATTTT